AAAATCCAAGTCCGCGTTGGACATGGGCTGGAGGTCAATGGTAGAGAATGCATCGGAGGACAGGGGTGTATCTAAGGGGTATGTCTCGACAATATTTGAGGAGGAGGCCTGGGCCTCGGACGTAGATTGTGCTGTTGGGGTGGCAGTGGGATATGCAGGGGGCGGATAACCGTACGGAAATGGTGCAGGGTGGAATTGAACTGATCTTGCCCGTAAGTTTTCGAGCTATCGATGTAACACTATAAATGCCATATAAGAGTGTTAAGAACGAACGACACTTACCGACCACGTTGGCAGTGGAACACCTTGGGAATTAGGTCTACAATAAGTGGAGCTGATCGCACTGATATAAGCACCACCGGCTGGCTAGGTTCTCTCTTCTAAAGGTGAACTGTCTAGCATAACAAAGCTCTCACCGTCATGTGGAATAAAGCATGAAGAACAAGCTGAGTGGTATCCGCCTCCTCGAGAATCAGCCACCCAATCTGGTAAAGTTGATGAAGCCAAGGTTGACCCTGCTTTAAAGCGGTGTCACACTGGAACGAATACGATGAGATGGGATCATTGGTTTTGAGGAAGACTCACATAGATTGGACTGATCTGGTAGTGATCAGCTAGATATCCGATGAGGTCGTATGATCCCTTAGTCAACATGACAAATGCGTGCTGAAATTAGCAAGTTAAAAAGAAACAACGGTCGATGGGCGTTGGCGAACCTCTTCATGCTAGAGGGAGGGCCATCAGCGGATGGTCTGTAGTACAGAGTCTAGCACTTACGTTCAATTGCACAAGTTGCTGAAGAACTTCTGGTCTTTGTGGAACGTATAGCCACACTGGGATCATTGATGAAACTGTATCCGGTTGGGGGAAGTGGCGGCTGATGAGGGACTATAAGTATGGCCAACGAAGTTAGTAACTATCTGCGAATTGACAACGCTGATCATCGATTAGCGAAGGCTACAATCAATTATTTTTTAGCCATTGATGGCCAGGTGATGGCCAGGAAAAACTATAGCTAGCGAGGGATCGGCCAGCATTTAGCATGCAAGCTGCGCCCTACCATATCGGTAAGAGCGACGGTCAGGTAAGAATGGCACCGAGCCGAAAATCAGCCAGTAAGTATATATTCTTCGATCAGAATAGGAGTCATCGCTGTAATGGAACATTAATTTTCGTAATCGAAGACATGCTCAACGAACATCTCATCAAGTGCGTCGATGAGTGACTCCCCGCTTGTGTTCTTTCCCAGCTCAAAGAAATCCGGCTCCTCGACACCAAAATGATCGCCCTCGTCCTCGTCATCACCAGGATGGCTGACGTCCATAGGGCTTTCCTCACCTTCTAAATGTCCATCTTCCATTGCGGCGGCTATCTGGGGGTGTGGTGCTGGCCTATGACCCTCATTTAAGGACCCTGGCCTATGCGAGTATACGTGGCCTACACCAAGACCAAAATGGAATCGCATGAGCATGTCCCGATCAACGAAACTATTAAATCGTAAGTTCCACAGAGAATTCAATGAAAATCGCTTGCCTGTTGACGTAGTATTCCTTCCAATCGTGTTTGTCTCCCCCAAGAGGGGAAATCCCAACATCTGGGTTACACCGGCCTCGAGAGAAAGCCGGGATAATGTGACATGCCCTTAGAACATCTCCTGGGTTCACAAATCCAAAGGCGTTAGGGTTCTCCAAAGGTAGGAAGCGAACACGACCTAATGCATGTGTTTCCCATGCGTGGCTTTGGACCGATTCGTACCACCGAACGAACAGAAATTCCACCCGGCGAGCTTCGTACATGTTCTCCGCGCAAACGACATTCACATGATGGACGCCCAGGACTTTCGCGTATCGGTAGTTGCCATCATCGCCATCGCCATGCTGGAGTAGCATAACATTGCAATGAGGCGTCCTCGGGTTAATAACATCTTGAGCCCGTCGGACGTTGTACGTAGTATAATTTAATTGTACGAGGCTGTGATGATAAATTCGTCCACGCTTGAAAAGAATCGACAAACGTTCATGGTCAGAATGAGGGGGTGTCTCCAAGGAAGGTTCAGAGATCCTAATGCGATCCAGAATATGATCTTTCAAACACGGTAGGAAGTCCTAAGCAACAAGTCAGAATGGCGACCGAGTTACAAGAAATATAGATACCTTCATAGCCGGATCTCCTGCATGACTACGGAGGTAATGGCCAAACTCTTCAAAAATTTTCTCACTTTTCCCAATATGATGGTGCAACTGGGGGTCGCTCGCAGTTTCGTCTGACTTCACATCAGGGGTCCGTTTTCGCTGCCGTTGCTTGATACGGCGTAAGCGTGTTTGACGGCGCTCAATCTGAGCTAGCTGGTGAACGAAGTCCCTGCGATCGGTTCGGCGGTATCTGCATTTCGGCGTACGGTGTTCTAATTCTCCCTAATAGCATTTTAGTTGGAAAGCGGAAGGGTAGCACGTTGAGGACTTGCTGGTTCTGTGCTGTAAGAATCTGTGGTACCAAACCGACGGATGGAGGTTACATAATCCCCCAACGCATGAAATTTGTAGGTATGGAAGTTGAACGACTTCTTCTTCCTCGGTTGCCTTAGTTGAGGCACACCCTGCGGTTGCTCCAGGTTCGCCTTCTGTTTCCCTTTAGCATCGGCACCTGACCTAGGCCTTCGAGCTGCAGCTCCCTGCCCAATGCTATCCAACATGTATTTCTCCGCCCGTTTGGCGGTTTCTTTTGCCTGCCGACGTGATCGTGATTCAACTTCACGATCGAGCTCCTGGGTGTGATACGCATTGCACACCTTCGTCTTAAATTGACGAAATTGTTCACCGAGGTCGGTCGTTTGCTGGTCGAGAACCTGTAGGGTGAGGTCAGAATGCATACGTAATTTAGCAAGTCCATGCCAGTGGGCCATGATGAAAAGGAGATCGAGAAGGATTTTGTTGTGAGCGTCGGGGAGGAGGCCTTCAAAGACCGGGATAGAGCACTTGTACAAAATTAGTTCACAAATACCTATCGAGAATCATCCCAAAGACAAACCTGTAGAAGATCTTCGAAGTTCCGTGCAGCCATGTTGGACATTTCGGAGGTGTTGGAAGAGAACCGTCTAATAGTTGCTGACCCAAATGGGGGGACTTGCCTGTACCTGTCAGAGATAGGAATGAGACACTGGGCTTTCGTCGGACACAAATTTGACACCTCTTATCAAGTTCGTGGATGAGGTTCTTGTCCAATGCGCAAAGAATTCTTAGCAGATGGAGCAGGAGCATGCGCCATACCCCAAGCTCAAATTCGTGCAGAAGATCGACCACGAGCGCAGCAAACACATTGAATCCAAATGAACTAAGGCTGTCTGACAGCGCATTCTAGTCAATGATAAGCAAAGGCGACCAACAAGACCTATGATCATGCTCACTGAGTTCGGTACCCACGATTCAGGCTTGAGAAGCGACTCGATTGCCGTACTGTCAACGCCATAATTCCTCTCATAGATGAGACTACGTGCTGCAGCAACAGGCTGACTCCTTGAGGCATAGGACCGTGCCAGTGTTGAACGTTGTTGCCGATCGCGACTCATCCCCAGATGTTGGAGCCGAACGGTTGGTATCAGACACCGTGGGCAAGGACAACCTCCCAGCTGCCGAATAGTTGCAACAAGAACCCTGACTTTGTGAGCTCGGATTCCTTATGAATAAGTTTCACTCACTTCTCAGGATAGTCCGCCGAGTATGTGAATATTCGCGGGTAGAACCTGCGTTTGATCCCATCACAGCACAGGAGCATGATCCCATGCTCATACGCCGCTAAAAACTCATCGTCAAGCAGGACCCTCCATTGAGCTTGAAATAGTTCGCGTTGGCAATGGGTCGTGCATTCCCGACCAACTCCCTTGCCTTCAGTATAGGTGCCTGTAAAGTCTTTGAACGAGTCCGGAAGCTGCCAAGATGTGAGCTTCAACATTAAGGAGGGAATCAATTCAGAAGAGGCATCATACCTTTTGAAAATAGGCCACATGGTTACTCAAGTTGCAGGTCGGTTTACAACGGCGGTATTTGGACTCATTTCCAAAGTACATGTATACCGGCCAGAGCTTCGCATTACCGAATGTTGTCAGGTGCGTGGCGTCTGACCAAAACATGAGTGCAACAACCACTCGTGGTAAGTCACATCCTGCCTCTCCAGGGGACTCTTGAAGTTCTCGGTGCGCATCCATAAAGGCCGGCGAGGTGTACAGTTCACCTTGAATGTCGACTTCATGAGGAAGGTGAGGAGCGTTCCATCGCAGTTGGTAAGGTTCATAATGGAGCAATTCGTCATCCTGAGCATTTGACAGCTTTTCCCTGATGATGGAGGTGAGAGAGCGATGGTACAAGTTTGCTGCGACGTAAGGTCGAGCGCCTGGCTGAGCTGTCGTTCGAGAAAAGGGTACTTCAATGGTTACTGGCGTTTTCTGCCAACCCGCTTCCTCATCCTCCCATTCGTCCCCCTCATCATCCTGAACGCTCGCACCTAACTTCGAGTTGATTCCGTCCCATGGCGTACTCCGGACGTCGTCAGGACGAAAATCTGGATCTCCGACGATGCCAATGAGCTCCTTGAAGCTTTGATGAGACTTTTGGGCACCACCATGCCAGTACCAATGGCCGAGCTCGAAAGAGGATTTGTTGGGGTAAGGGTGAAATGAAACGTCGTGATACTCGACGCGAGCATCTGGCTCTGCTGAAGTAGCAGCTTGGACAGAGCTGATATCTTGGAGTGTTACGGCTTCTTCTGGGTCGTGGGATGGGGGTGTGGGCGAGAAGAATTGGCGTACCAGTCCGAAGACGTTCCTAGCCGTACGGAATGGGGGTAGTCGCAAAGAAGTATGAGCGCTGGTAGATGCGTCTGTATGATTTACCGGTGGGTTAAGTCCAGGTGCTGGATTGGTATGGCCAGGCATAATGCTTGGGGGAGGCTGAGGAAGTACATCCTCATACTGCCTATAGCGTAGCGGCATTGGGACGTCAACTCGTCGGCTCCTCCGCTGCGCCAGTGGCAAGTCCTGGTCTCCATCTATTTCTATAGGCACAGAGCCAAGACCGGTATCGAATGCTGAGGACAATGCATTTTCTTGCGGTAAGGAACCTGCATGCGGAACGTCGTTTTGTGAGGGCATTCTTGACAGAGTCGGACACGCGTAAGAAGGATCTGCACCGGATCTCCCATTAATTGAGTTAGCAGACGGATGCACACTTGAAGACGCTATGTTGAGGCCTGCATGCGGCCTACCATGGCTACGGTCCACTCGTGGCCGTTTTATAGAACCCAAAAGGTCCTTCGCCTTGGATATGGCGGAGAACAATCGCTTCTTGCCCTTCGTGCACGATCGTTGATGCCTAGTGTAGGCGCTCTCTTGTTGAAACTCACGCATACAGGTGCATCTGAAGGGGGTTGGAGTCGACGACGTATCTGCCCAATCCGGGGCCATAGGGAGGAAGGACTGACGAGGTAAGAATATGGTAGAGCCTAATGCTAAAAGGATCGGACGAACTTACAATTGGGCGTATGAATTGGGCAGCATTAACGTAATAAACTTGGGCGCTAGCACTGGCCACCACAGTTACTAAACTGCCGTCACAGCGCCAGGCTCCAGGCCAATAACTCTGGCAGGTCACTGGCCGGTGCACTTGGCGATGGTAATATAGGCCGTCATACTGCTATAGGTCCCAGCCTTATAAAAGCAGCGTAGAAGACGTGTCCTTGCTGCACCAAACCACTCGATGGAAGCCCCGTCTTCGCCTTCCTCTATCATCACTGCCCCACCTGAAAATCATGAAACTGCTCGGAGGTTAGGTAGACTGATTGCGGAGGCTAAGACCTGCCATGTCGCCCTCCTACACTATGATAGGACCTCGCAATCCATGGTTGATTGGTTTTGGTGAGACACCACCAGATCCTACGTGAATGTTGACGTATAACGCCACTCCACAAAAACACAGGCCTGCCAACAGCGACGGGAAGAAAATTCCGCCATCCAACCTAGAGGACCACCGTGATGCATACAATTTTAGGTACCCGTGCTGCCTGTGTGCCGATGGTGGTGGAAGAGGGGCGTATGTAGAGTCTGCCGTGTACTCTTGGTGGAATAAGGATATCAAGAAGGCTGATTGGACTGTAAGATGCGCATCTGATATATGCGGATACCAATGTCAGTGTCTTTCGTGCTCAAGAGAATCTCAGACTCAACGTCACACAGTGAAAATAGACAAGTTCTTCATGCAACCAACTTTAGCCACCTGCCAGTATCCTCGAAGAAGTACGTACTTGAAATCTGTAGCACCAAAGTTTCACTGACTGGATGAAAAAGAGCGGGAAATACTACCTGTTGAACTCCAGTGGACCCACAAAGAGCAAATAGAATTGCTTAACAGACTCAACTCCTCCGTTTGCAATGGGATTACAGTGAGGGAATTTCGTATTCTGTTTAGATGCTGCAAAAAATGCATGCGAGTTGGGGTAAAGCCGGCGATGAAACACCATATCTGTGAGGATGGTATGAAAAGGCGAAATTGAGTCAGAGGTTACGACTCAGTACTAGTACGGCCTGCATAATATTGACATACAATTTTAGTTGTTCGCGTTTGACTTGTCATGACTGCAGCTTCGTCGTCTTCTGCTCTGTCATTGTCTTCTCCTAGTTCGACCTTCTCAAAAAGGAAGTTTTCGGAAGACTGTCGGAAGAGAATTTTCAAATGAGTCAACAAACCTTGATAACAATCTGCTCCCATCATCATGCCAATTATGTTCTTGACCATCCTCAGCAGGGCTGTACAAGTCTTTGCACCCATACTATGGTGCTTATTCAAGTTCAATGTTCTAAAAGCTGCCGGGCAAGATATTAGCCTTCGACATAAAACAACATAGTGGGTTTTCGGTAGTCTTTAAAGCTCATCCAAGATGACTGATCACCACATTAGCTTGTCTTCTGAACAATTCTTTAACATGCCACCATATTCTTTGAAATCAGCACGTCTAACGTTCTCTTTTACTTCCAAAAGCTACTAGGTCGATCCCAACGACTCTAACCCTTCTATCTTGCAGCTTCGCCTACCAGCAAATACGACATGGCGGGTGGCATCTGTTCTAAAAGCTCTACCCAAAGTGTTGAAGGCAATGTGCTTGACTGGATTACCACAAAGTGGTAGAATCTTGTCCCTCCTCTTGCTCGCAACATGAAAATTTACCGCGGTTTTACGTCACTTTGTGCTACTGGTCTAGCACTCAGTGCGTGGTATCTTACTCGTGCATTTACTTGGCGTACAAGAATTGACCAATTACGCAAATTAGTATATGTAAGTTCATTCTGTCTATCATATGTACACGTGGTTAAACTATTACAAGCGCACAATCTTCGAGTTTGGTGAACGTAACAGGGCCGCACCCATGCGCATCATTTTCTTCCGAGGTGGCCTTTCCGAAGGAGAATACGCGCTCATGGGACAAGAGGAGATTGACGACATCACAGGTCAGTCAGTTCAGCGACGGCCATTCCTTATTTTCACCATGTCTACTAGGGGCGATCGATGATATCTGGCGGGAAAAAGGCGTGAAGGGCGCAAAACCTGAACTAACATTCATCGTCGTAGGTAAATGGTAAGTTTGCGATCATACATATAAGCATTGATACAGTTAACTGATCAAATAAGAATACCTAAAAATCCAGAAATAGAGCACGCGACCAGAGCGTCTCTCCAATATCCCCAGGATGCTGCGCAACCCATTATCAAACTCCCCAAAAGCTCAGGGTGTCATCTGAGCACCTGTCACCAATGTTGATGCCGTCTCCTCTTAGACGACGACCATCGTTTCCAGCAGATGCCCAACATAAAGCAGATGGACTGGCTCAGGAGCAGGATCACGATGACAGCGATATCTTCTTACAATCTCCATTCAAATCACCCCATCTAGTGCACCGTCTATACCCCATCTCACATCCTAAACCAATCAAGTTAGATGACGATCAAGCGACACTTCTTCTGTCTTCCTCATCCGCTGTATCTTCCTTTTCTTTCATCACGCGTCCACCCAGCCACTACTCACGCCAGTCAAGGATTCCCATCGTGCTGTACTAGCTGCCAAGCACTCAATTCGCAGCCTGCACATCGTGTGGGCATAGGTACCAAGCGCAAATCCCCGCAATCTGGCGGTGGCAACTTCTCTACGCCTTTGCATCCCGTCTCATCAGCCACGTGCACCCCTCTTAATATCTCGGCTTCAAAACCCAACCCTTCATCTGGTATCGCCTTCCACCATCTTCCACCTCTGCCAGCACCTCGCTTCACCCCCCAACCAAAGAGTAAAGCTGACACCGATACATTTCTCAAGAAACAGGCAGAAACAATGAAGCGGCTGCGCATTCGAGATCTTGATGACTCAGATGAGGACTGGGGCATCATAGATTGGGATTCCGATGGAGAACCTGTACAAAGGCTACCTGCGCTTTGGAAATGCAAATCCCGGTCTATTAGCCAGAAAAAAATCTCCTGATCAACGCTGGGCTAGTGCCACAGAAAGGTAGCTTAAAGGATGAGGTCACTGAAGCTATCTCACCAGGAGGGCATATCATTAAGCGTCGGGCACGTTCGAGGCCCGTTTCCATTGAACTTCTCGAGAGTGTGAACCACTCACCGTCACCCAAGGTTAGAAGCTACATCGATATCGGTATTTATATATATTCCATTGTGCTGACAAAACTTCACTCTAGGCTTAATGTTCCAATATGAAGCCACCCACTGTGCCGATAACATTTCCTTCTGTATCTCGCAATCGCAATCGGCCCACTTCCTTTGTTGGTTCGCCCTTTCCTGTACCACGAAGACGACTCACAGGCTCCAGCGGTCCTAATCCTTTCCTTTCTCACACACCCTCCCGTCTCAATTTGCATTCTCAGCCCCGCCCCCACCCTTTCGCCTGAATGGCATCCAATAGTTCGGCTACTCACTTCTTCAGACCCTCAATCTCTCAATCCGTGCAGTGCCCACGCAAGCAAATTAATTCTTCCGTCGACGCTACTCTGGATCTGTGCATGCAGTCCTGTCTCAGTCCGTCGAATCGACATAGCTATGCTGGCCCAGACTCGGCTGGTGTCTCCGTTACCCCAATGTCATGGACGCTGCGGTCGGGTTTGGACACACCTCGCCAAACTCTTCGCCTCTGAATGACGGTCTAGGCACGGTCTTCTTGACGAGTGACTGAGGCGTCATGCTCCCCGGGCCTGTGCTGGCGAGGCGATGACAGGTTTTCTGATGGTCGCACCATGATCAGTATGTGCCAAACAAATGAAATAGTATTTGATTTCATTGATGGACTGATGCACGTGTAGCAAAAACATCTCGAGGACGGCATGAAAAACAAGGTGACAAGATCACGAACCGTTCTTGATGTTGTACGATCTTTTGCGGAGTCTAAGTGTTTCGCTCGTTTTATCTTGGAAAACTACGCATTCCCTGGTGGACTCATGATCGGGACTGACTCTCACACACCGAATGCAGGAGGTTTGGGTATGGTTGCCTGTGGTGTTGGGGGTGCCGATGCTGTTGACGTCATGGCGGATATTCCTTGGGAATTGAAGTGCCCTAATGTCATCGGTGTGAACCTTACTGGCAAGATTGGAGGCTGGACTACGCCCAAGGGTGCGCGTGTCCTCGAATTGATTCTCTTGCATAGTTAACCGTTCGCAGACGTCATCCTGAAGGTCGCTGGCATTATCACTGTCAAGGGTGGAACTGGTGCCATCGTTGAATACCACGGTCCTGGTGTCGAATCATTGTCATGCACGGGTATGGCCACTATCTGTAACATGGGTGCTGAAATCGGTGCAACTACCTCACTCTTCCCCTTCAACCGTCGTATGGTCGACTATCTCAATGCTACCAAGCGTTCCGAGATTGCTCAATACGCACAGCGCTTTTCACACAACCTTAAGGCTGATGAGGGCTGCGAGTACGACCAGAACATCGAAATTGTTTGTGATGTTGTTAATGTCCTCGTCATCCGGACTGATATTTTGTGCCCAGAACCTCTCAGAACTCGAGCCTCACTTCAACGGTCCCTTCACTCCTGATCTTGCTACCCCTCTCTCAAAGGAAGTTGTTCACTGACTCGGAAGTTCATGTGGTCACACAGAGCTGACCCGCGGCATTTAAAGAGAACGTCAGAGCACTCTTGTCTCTCATCCTTCCACTACCACCATGGCCAGTGGTTATGAACTCCTGAAGGGCGGAGATGACAACGAAGTCAAGTCACCCAAGCCGTATCGCACCATACGTCGTGTTGCGATCGGTCTCGTAACATGTTTGGCGTTGGTAACGCTTTCTTTTCTGCATGTTCATCCTCTATCAGGGGATCTGGGAGCGCAAGATCAATATGACGGAGACTCCGTGAGGACTTGTGCTTCACCCACGCCCCCTACTGCCCGTCCCCCAGCCCCAATCAATCCATGGGCCTCTCTCACCATTGAACAGACCGTTCAGATCCAGAAGTGGTTGGAGGAGCCTGGTCGGGCTCTTAACCTGACGCGCGGGGCTGTATCAAAGCCTTCAGACAATCACATATTCATGATAGAAGCGTACTACCCGCCTAAAGCCAGCGTCCTAAGTTACTTCTCGTCGCTATCCTCATCAGACATCCCGGAAAAGTATGCACGGGTCACAATTCACCACAGTTCTGCACCGGAACCTGTCGTAAAGGATTATCTTGTTGGACCGCTTCCTATTGGACCATCTACTCACATGGAGCATCTGACGGAGGTATATCATCTCGACACTATTCCGCACAATGCACGTGGCTTTGATACCCGTGACTGGACTTCCCCAGAAATTTTTGAGAAGATGGCGGCCCCTTTAATGGAAGCATACAAGGTCATTTGTGCCATCTTATTTCTGTACATGCTACTTACAGGGAGGTTGGTTTTCAGGAACTTCTGGGTGGAATGCCCCAGGATACCCTTACGACGGCTGGAAGTGGGCCGTTCAGCTCTGACGGTTCATTCAGACGTCTGTGGCTTAGTTGGCGACGCAACACGCCCGGCTTCTTCTTACACCCACTCAACTTATATCAGTATGTTGATCTCAGCGGTACCGATTCCTCTCAATGGCATCAGTTAAAGGTATGTTCTCAAATATAACCTCACCGAGACTTCATGCGCTCAAATTGGTCTTAGATTGTGTATACTTTTGCAGAGGAGGTCAAGAAGAACAACTGGCCCCAAGAACTTAAGGTCACTCTCATTGGTTCCTGCACTAACTCTTCATATGAGGACATGTCACGCTCTGCTTCCATTGCCCATGAAGCTACCGAGCATGGCCTCAGTGTCAAGAGCAAGTTCGCGATCACTCCTGGTTCTGAGCAAGTCCGTGCTACCATTGAACGTGACGGTCAAATTGGTGCTTTCGAAGAGGTCGGCGGTCTCGTCCTGGCTAACGCATGCGGTCCTTGCATTGGTCAATGGGACAGGAAAGATGTTAAGAAGGGCGAGGTTAACTCAAGTGCGTTTTTCGTCTCATTATATTACATTTTGTAACTAATGGTTTTTAGTTATCACCTCCTACAACCGTAACTTCACTGGCCGTAACGATGCTAACCCTGCCACCCACGCTTTCATCGCCTCCCCGGATATTGTAACTGCCATGGCCTTCGCTGGTGACCTCACCTTCAACCCGGTTTCGGACACCCTCATTGGTTCTGATGGCAAGCCTTTCAAGTTCTCGGACCCTACTGGTAATGAGCTTCCTCCTCGCGGCTACGACCCCGGCCAAAACACCTTCTAGCCCCCTTCTGGAGACCGTGCTAGCGTTTTGGTTGTAGTTGACCCTAAGAGTGACCGTCTTCAACTCCTCCATCCATTCACGGCTTGGAATGGCGAAACACATGTTCTACGACCAATGGCTACTATGATCCCCTGGATTGATTTATCTTTCCTCACGCAAAAATATCCCCTTCGACCAATCAAAGCAGGAACGGTCATCGTCTCCCGATCTCAAATTTTTGCTGATCTACGTACCGGATGGTGGTATAACTAGTATGAATACCATTGTCTTACGTCCACCAAGTTCGCCTCTCACCCACACCTATTCTCTACCAATATGGCCATAGTCTCAGATGATCCCACTTGGTGGTCGACCATCAATGCATATAGTTTGTGCAGCTATTTTATAGGTTCGTGGAGGGTAGTCGGATGTTAAAGTTAACTCAATCTAACCTTGGCTGTGGTTTCGTAGTCGCCGTCTTTGTTGCAGTTGTACGATTGGTGTGAGCATGATAACATTAAGAACTGCTGACGTCTTACAATTATTTTCAGCACTCGTTAGCATCACAGAGGGAACCCCTTCTCCACGATCACAGAAAGGCAAGGAAGGATTGCTACCCTCCAAGTATAAGCCACGCGACTCTGGCATCGTCCTCAGCGACGACGAGTCGATTCCCGCGCGAAATTCGGTGTTAAGTTCGAGCTCTATTCACTCTGATGATGATAACGGCGATGATCTGGACCGAGTCCTGCTGCTAATTTCTGCCAATCCCTAACACACTTCTAACCTCGTTTAATTCCCGCCACTCGCTTTCCAGCCATTTGACCATGTCATTCAGCTCTTGCTCTCTCTGCAGCGCCATCAAGGTCAGCCAACATCTCTCTCGTTCCGTTGCACTGATTTGTTGTCGTTGCACAGGATGGTGGCTTTGGCCTATATAGGACTGAGCGGCCGCTGTTGCGGCCTTCCAAATTGCCTGCATCGTGTTCATTAGCTGCCACAGTTGAGTACGATATACAATAACTACATACAATTGCCGATTCCGTGACAATCAATGGTCCTGGGACATCATAAGAGTGAGGCAGTACTAACTAGTAACGGTAAAGTTTTAAATTAGGTGCAGAATATCAGTCAGTTCTACTCACCGCCTGACTGTTAGATTGATCATCTTGTCCCTGAGCATTTAGCTGATGTTGACTATTGAACTCGTTTGGATCCATGGAATCAGTATTGTAGTAGATGTGATCTTGATTATCGGTTAGAGTTCGGTGTAGTTCAAAATTCGGCTGAGTTCTAACTCTTGCCTTTTTGGGAAACTATGATATCGTTTGGACGCAATTATAATATCTGACAATTTCTTGTATATCAATAGCAAAATTGCAATGTTCTGATCATGATTGTTATGCATTGTAAAACTTCATTTTTTTTCCGTCGTTGTGACAAGCATTTGTAGCTTTCTATTTATCAAGGACCATTCTTGCGAAACGTGATGTATTCTCCTCACAATTGCGGTTGTCCTATAATCTACTGTCTTTCGACCCAATCTGCTCATGCTCATGTATTATGTTGTCTAGTTTTGTTTTTACATATAATCCCGTGTATTTTTGCTCTGATCTTGCCGAATGAATCTAGGTAAAACATCGTCTCCCCAATTTCGTGATGAGGGAACAGGGATTCTCTTGGCTCCGTCCAACTTGTCAACGTTCGTTGGATTGGCCACATTGGCGCACGACCGTTGCCTTCGTGCTGGTTTAGGTCGGCCTTTGTTACCCAGTTGCTTGGCGGTAGTGACGATTCGGGACGTGACGTCCTGTTCCTACTACTATCCCCGTGCCTCACCAGAACGGACGTTCAACGCATTCGATCCAGCACGTTATAATTGGCGGAGGGACTGTACGCCAGACGATTCTCGCATATGCGTCGCACTGACTCGCATAGTAGAAGTTTCTAGCGAGAGATGCACTCATTTCTCTCTCATATCCGAGGCCGAGGTATTGGTAACCATTCCACTGCCGCTCCGCCTTTGCAACCAGAAAACTGCTGCATCGTCCCGCCCACTCCTGCCCTCAGTTATGGTGTGGATTCAACCATCGAAACATCCCCAGCAGTGCGTCATGGCATAGACAAGAGGATTCTCGAGAATCCGAGTTCATACTTGGACATGGCTGATTCAGTATCTCTGCCTCGCAGCTTAACTCCAAGAACTCGGAGACACACTGTAGATGTTAGTAATTGGGGGCTTCGCAATATACTGCGGGCAAAACCCATCTCCGAGAGTGTATGCGAAGTGGACAAACCTGGGTCAGACTCACCGGCTCATGAAACAACTCTAAGCGAATCAAAATCAATTGACCACCTAGCTGCACCTGGGGACTGGTCCACGTTTGGTCGCCGACGAGTGCGCAGCTCCCCAATAGTACCAGAATTTGCAGACGTCGGTCCCACCAAAGACACTACCAGACGAACGTCACATTCTCCTTCGCTGAAGAGAAGTAACAGCAATAAGAGTGATGAAGGCCTCAGCTCAGCAGAAAGTTTGCACTCTATCATCAGCTCCCATAGTGTGCCACGATCCTCCATAGCGCATCGCGATACATTAGCACAAACAAGCAATAGGGGATGCACTTTAACGACATCTGTCAATAATCACACAAGCAGCTCATCCATCCATTCCAAATCATCACCAACAGATATCGTGTCCTCTAGGCTGCATCCACGAACACCCAATAGACCACGATCCAATACATCTCCGACAGCCCGCCCAACTGCATACTTCACTACACCTATCCTTCGCGAACTGGGATTCGACTCTCCCGGAACATTTGGCCATCCGACACCCGAGAGCCGGTCCACGTTTACGTTTGCATGTGCATCGCCCCCACCCCCTCTGCCCCCCTTGAACCACCCGGCTTTGTCATCCTACCTCAAGGACAAAAACGTTAATAATATCACTCCCACAGCATCAGGTTTCGCATCGGACCGATCCAACTCATTTCCCAAACGCTCATCACGGATCCCGTCTGGCATTGGTGATGATTTCTTCGTATCGCTATCAATGAAATTTGGCCGATCTGTCCGACGTTCTGCAAGCCTCCCGAAGGTGCAGGATGTCTTCCCTCCTTCCTCGGAAGAGCAGCCTGCTGCCACTGCACAACGCCTCCGTACACGAACAATATCCGACAAAGCACGACTCCGTCGACGCAACAGTGCCTCTTGGAGTGCACAACAAGCTACAGAAGGTGTCAACTCATCTTCAAACAATGCATGGCCCGCAGAGGTATCGCGCGAAATGCTGCGACTTTCGTTGGGTGAAGGACTTGACCTCGTCAAGTGGCCATCTGCCCAAAGTGGTGTCCCGGGTCCGGGGTCCGAAACACGCGGTAGCAGCGTGGCGCAATTTCCTAATCAGGCGCCCATATCACGATCATTTTCTCCATCACCTTCACCACTTCGACCACGCTCCCCAGCTCCCCAAGGTAAGCCCAGTGCTTACGGCATTCAGATATTGTTTTCTGCCACACATTCCGAATTCCGCATCTTCTCTCTCTTTGTATTCATCCATGTATTTTCTTATACGTTCACTTCAGTCCCTCGTTTCAGTCACTCACTCATTTGTTGTAGGCGGGGAACGTGCATCCCAGTCCCCATCCCCATCCCCATCTTCATCTCCATCTCCATCTCCATCCGCTAACCTTCCTCCTCCGACCCACCGCCCAACAAGTTACGTGGACCCGCGCATGTCTGCGAATCCAAATGGTACTCGCGTCGCTCCGGATGGCGCCACCTCGCCAAATTATACTCCTTCGAGACTAAACGTACCTGTGGGTCCAAGCAAAATACAAGGTCGTCCATCGTCTCAGTTTCTCCTCCCTCCCTCCATTGCTCCCACACCTGCACGTACTTCCCGCACAATCACCATGGATCCAAGTACCCCTACTCCTACCTCCCGTAACCATAGTGATAAGATTAAAGGCAAACGCAAAGCCGAAGACATAGACACCACACCGCCCGAGCAGAAAAAGGACGTGCAGCGCGCAACTTTCGCCGTCCCAGAGAGCCACCGAAGTACGTACCTTCCATTACGTCGCCTCTTCTCGACGGTTCCGAACGCGTATTGATTGCTGAATTTAATTACGCAGGTCAAAAGCTCTCTGCTTCATCTCACGCGCCATCATCGTACCACCGCAAGCGCGCCCGTATATCGTCCTCTCCTTTTGGCACCCCCATCCATTCGCGGCCTGTATCCACTCAGAGCCAGAGTATGAATTTAGAGCCAACACCCGAAGTGGGCAAGTTCGGTTCCTGGTCGAGCCGAACGAGCGCTCGTATCCTCTCTAGTCCTAGCGTACCATCTCATGCCGCGTCGTCCACTCATTCGACCCGCCCCCAACAAACCCCAAACAAGAACTCCCTCACCAACTCAATCACCCAGAATCAGAATCACGCGAGACGCCAAAGCATGTCTCAGGCGTCTATCCCTATCAGTGCGCTCGTGTCCCCGCATGCACCTTCAATCGTGCCATCTGGGAAATTCCACATGCGAGATCCTAGGCGCCCGCCGAAGAAACTTGCAGAGACGCCTTGGACGCTGCATTTTCGTGGGGAGGATGAGCCTGGGTCGCCTGTGCATGCGTGGTGCTTCTTTGTGGGATTCATTTTGTTCCCTGTCTGGTGGATCGCTGCGCTCTTTCTCCGCACACCGCGCACGCGTGTTGTTGGTGATGAGAAGGGAGTTTCACTGGATGATCCGCAGATCGAGCATGGTGAGTGATTATACAATGGAGTGTTTGGGCCGAGATGACGAATGTGTTGATGTAGACGCAAAAGCATGGCGGCTCCGGTGCCGTGTCATGTCTGTAGTGTCGCTGTTTACATACACCCCTTTCATCATTCTGGTGGTCTTCTTTGTCCGACGATAGCACTGCACATAAACAGGTCACGCACATTTTGCATACCAAGGACTTCACTCTTACCCGCAACGTCACATCACGTTTCTCATTACGCTTATGACGTTCCGTTTTCTTACTGCATACTTCACGCTCTATGCCAACCTCCTACGAACATTCCTTTCCATCGCAGTTTTCTTGTCCTATCCTGGTTCTGCGAACGTTCATCGACTGCATTCATTCCTTTCACTTACTGTCTTCACTCGTTTCTTGTGTTATTTGTCGACTTATCCGCGACCGCATTCCTAGAGTAGTCACCGCTATTAGTGTTGTTCATTGGTGTTGTGTTTTTACTAGTGTCATGGCAATCCAACTGAGAGGATTTTGGGGAAGCACAAGCTTGGTTGAGTGCGTATCTGGGTAGAGCTGTAGTATACAAAGAAGCACGAAAATCGGAAGGCTGCATTATATAGTGAGATACCCCTCCGAATCCCTCATTCCCTCCTCCAGTCCCGCGCGCGTGCGTGCTTCACTTCTGTACATGTGGGCGTATCGATGTAGAAGC